AGCTATTATGGATACGGGCCTGTCTCCACTGAACTGAATGCTCATATCACACCTAGAATCCCAGTTCATTCGAACTTCCCTCACTCTGATCCACAGAGGGTTTATCCACAAGGCACTGGCATTGGTGCTAGAAATACACCAAAGGGCTCCAAGGTCACCAACTATTCGAAGAGTGCATCATCTACTGCAGAGTCGATTGGCTCACAAAATGTGTCACGCGTTGGTTCTCCAAGAAGGCCAAAGTATACGCCAGATATCGATGACTCTCTTTCAAGAGTTTCGTCAATGGGCTCATCAAATGATCCAGTGTCTTTCAAAACCAGTCCTAATCTGCAAAATGTATTGCCTCATGGTCTCCACTCTGCACCACCAAAACATTCAGCTGTGTCCTCTGTGAATTCTTCTAATGTGGTTCATGAGGGTGTTACTGGGCATTATCTAGATACACACAGAGGTAATGTTCCGATTCAACAAATGAGCGGAGCTCCAAATGGTCGCGGAACTGCTGATGTTGCTGGTCATCCTACTGCACATCCTGTTAACCACATAGATACACATCCTGTTGGTCATACGAGTCATTCTTCGTTGGGTCCAGATCATGTTATTATTCCACCAAGTCACGCTGGACACACAACTGCACCTCCAACTCATCAAGCACCAATTGCCTCTGCCTCAGCTCTGGCTGCTCCTGTTGCTCCTGTTGCTCCTGTTGCTCCTGTTGCTCCTGTTGCTCCTGTTGCTTCTGTTGCTCCTGTTGTTCATGATACTTCAACTTCAAACGCTACACCGGTATCTCATGAAGTCCCAACAGACCATGCTGATGTTAAGCAGGCTCCAACAAACGTTATACCACAGAAGGATGTTTCTCAAGGGCCATATGCACCTGTAACTCAACAAACAGAAGTATCACACCCTCATCAAGCAGATACAGAGGAAACTTCATTTGCAACAGAGTCCACTCTTCAACCTCGTGATAATATTGTTGGTAATTCAGAAACATTGGGCAAGGAGAGTATCGTTATGACCGTACCTTCAGTCGAGTCGGGGGTTCCGAAAATGGAAGACGATTATACTGAAAACTCTGTCATTGAGTCGATGAATGCTGATCTTGTTTCCGAAACTCAAAGTGATATTGGATCTGTCACTGCTAGTCCATACAAAGCTCCACAGTTTGAAACATCAGTGGAAGATATTTCTGCTAGGATGAACAATAAAACGTTTGAACCTGGTTCATCAAATGTTTCTCTGGAAGATCATGTTGGAGGTTCAACACAGCCATCACATGTTTCGTTGGATCGTTATGCCCAATCTCATCCAAGCGATTCGCCATATGCACCATCCAGGTCTCCATATGCCAACAATGACCAGAAGGCGCCTGTGAAGAAGAAAAACAACAGGTTTATTCCAAAGTCTATCTCATCGACAGCTAGTAAAGAAGAACCTGTTGCTTCTGTTTCTGGTGATTTGGATTTGTATTCAATTTCTGGCATTCAATATGTTCCCCCAACAACTGTTGCTGAAAGCGATGACAAGAGAAACGCCGGAACAACCGTGTCACCGAGCCCAGTTGAAAATAATTCTCCTGATTCTGTTCAAGGAGACGTTTCTACGAGTGATGTTAGAAGAGACTTTGCACCTCCTGCAGAGAGAAGAGCTACATATTCTCCAACCAAGGAAAGAAGCTCCACGTACGTCTCGGTTGAAGAGAGTAGAATTGTCTCTGCGCCAACGGCAGACAGAAGGTCATCTTACATTCCAGTTGAGGAGAGAAGAACCTCCTATATTCCAGTTGAGGAGAGAAGAACTTCCTATGTTCCAGTTGAAGAAAGAAAGTCTTCCTATGTTCCAGTTGAAGAGAGAAGAACCTCCTATGTTCCAGTTGAAGAGAGAAGAACCTCTTATGTTCCTCAGCAGGAGTCTCGCAATTCTTCATCCCCAGCTCAATCCCGTCACGACTCTGTGTCTGATACTAGCTTCCATGCTCAACGTGGAGGCTCTTTTTCAAATGCTATGGGTCAATCATTGAATATGAGACCTATTTCACCTCATACAGCTGTACCACAATCCAAATTTGCACCACGCCAAGACTCTACGGCTGGTGGGGTGTCCTATGAGCCACCGTCTGCTCGTATGACTGCGTATGAACCACCAAAGAAGGAACAAATTGAGCAGATACCAGAGGAGGAGTACTATGATGATATCGTTGAAGATGAGGATGATGATGATGACGACGATGAAGACGATGACAAAAATGCCAAAAACCACACTAAGAGCAACGATAATGTTGACCGTAAACCATCAGTGAAGAAGAACAAAGAGAGTAAGGGTTCAAGTGGTGGGTCTGGATGGCTCGGTGGTTGGTTCCGTAAAGACTCGAATGAACCAAAGGTTTATAAAGCAAATCTCGGAGAGAAATCCAATTTCCACTACGATGAGAATCTGAAGAGATGGGTTAATGGAGATGAGGACTTGGATGAGCTGAAAAAGAAAGCTGCTCCACCTCCACCTCCTATCATCAAGAAGAAGCCATCCTCTATTCTTTCGAAGCCTCGTCCTTCTATTGTTGAAGGGTCTATAGGCCAACCATCTCGCCATCCTTCAGATAACAACACTGCTGTGGCGATGTCCTCAGATTCATCGGAGAGAGTGGTTTCAACTGGCAGCAGTGGTGCACCACAGTCATTACCACCACCACCTTCTAGCTCGCTTACACATAAAGCTGGACCTCCACCTCCATCTGATTTGGATTCCCTAATGAGTATGACCAGTGGTCCATCCACTAGAAGAAAGAAGAAGCCTGGTCGTGGTTACGTGGATGTTATGGGTACTATGAATATGAAGAAATGAATTGACCTTCTGGACAGGATACAACCGGGAGGTCTCTAAAATTATCAGAGCGAGAAGTACGATGCCCACTTTCTTGATTTGAATGATATACACTATATGTAAGATATAAAACAATCGTTATTTACAAGTTGATTTGATCAAATTGTTGCTTTTCCAGTTCCAATTTGTAGTGTTAATTGAACCTCGGTTCAGTTTGAAGATGATGGCTCCTTCAACGCTGGTTGTGCTGGTGCTCTATAGATATCACCGTTAAGTTTCATATCTTTGAAGATCATGCTTTGATCAATGTCTTCAGGTTTAGGGATTCTATCCTCTGGGGAATTCTCAAAGACAGAGCCAGCCAAGATGACTTTATCGGTATCCAAATCGATAACGAACCCAACGTAATCCGTAACGTTTCTATCAATCTTCTTTACCTTGTCGGTCTTCAGATTCACGTTAATCAGCTCCTGCTGTGTGTTGAACTTATACACGGCCTGGGCGTACTCCACTGGTCTTCCAGGCAGCATGATTGGTCTAAACGCAACCAATTTTGGCTTTTCGTTGAACTTGACCAGCTTCCAATCAAGCTTAACGCCCTTTGGAATGGACCCAACTCTCGCCTTTAAGGCCTTTTCGACCCAAACAGACACCTCCTTCTCAACAGGCTTGATGTCGCCGGCAGCAAATGCCTTGTTGATTGCAACGTATCTCTCAATCGCACGGTTCTTCCACAGGAGAAACTGTGGTTTCATGCCGGTTTGGTAGCGCATCAACGCCACCTGGACGGTGTTCATCCCGAGAGTGTAGAGCCTTCTAATCAGCGACCTCCACACCGCTCTTGGGCTGGTCAATGGGTTCGGCAGGTTCTTATACGACACTGGAATGTAGATGTCTCTTGTGAGGCCAATGAACCTTGGGTCGAACACCTGCTGTTGAGGGTTGGCATTTGAGGACTTCTTGGCCTCGTTCAAGGCACTTCTCGCTGAGGTGAACGATCTGACACCGAGTCTCGAGTTCGCAAGGGGTCTGAGGCGGAGCATGGCGTCGAACGTGCGGTCTCAAGCACTTTTCTCTGTATCTGTTTGGCTCTTTTGGCTCTTTTGGCGCTTTCGACACAGCGTCGAAACCGTCACACTGGCATTTTTTTCCGCTGTGGTCCTCCTCGCGGGCAGAACATAAAACGGGTTCGCGGACATCACGTGGCGCGCCACGTGCACGTCCCCCTCTGCCCACGTGACCACAAATCACCGCTCTCCCGCCATTTTGCGAAAAACACACAACCGCCAAACGTCATTCCGCATACGGAAACTTTTGCGTCAACAGAACCACCAAGCAAGCACAGGAAACGCTTCCCGCTGGCGTGTGTGCTAAAAATAGCACACGCCCACCAAGCGGCAGCACCAGCGCCCGCTGCCCGCTGCCCGTTGTCTGTTTTCTTCTCGAAGCTCCCACGCGGCTCCCCTCTGGCGCGTTCAATCCTCCGTTCAATCTTCACCAGAAGGCGCACTTTCCTCCCAGCCATTTTCGCTCGATGGCTGCGTTTTTGCGGTGGTTTTCCACTTTGTTCGAACCTTTGGCGCTTTTGTCTTTTTCTCCCTTTGAAGTGGTTGAAAGAGCTCTGAAATTTGCGAGGGAAAGAGCCAAACAGCAGCAACAACAACAACACCAAGCCGGGCTCTACGAATACACACTGAGTATTCTGTCTATTCAATTGATTGCTGTGTGTGTGTGTGCTTCTGTGAGCATCGCTGCTATTTTGTACTACCCGTGTGTGATTTAATTGGTGGATATCTGCCTGCTCTCTCTGTGAAGCGATCTTTTCGAGCCGGGATTTTCCACACACGCTGCGTCTTGGGCTTCCTTGAGACTGAGATCCAGAGCACGCTTTAATACCGGTGTGCGCTGTGTTTGAGTGCTGTTTGCGTGCTGTTCGAGTGCTGTTCGAGTGCTGTTTGTCGAAGCAAGGTGAAGTGGAGGACGTGAGACGGCAACATGGGCAGAAGAAAGATTTCAATCCAGCCCATCACGGATGAGCGAAACCGGAAGGTGACGTTTGTGAAGAGGAAAGCTGGCCTGTTCAAGAAGGCGCACGAGCTGGCGGTGCTGTGCCAGGTGGACATCGCGGTGATAATACTGGGCAAGAACCACTCCAAGTTCTTTGAGTACACGTCGACCGATGTGGATCAGCTGTTGGATCGGTTCAAGAACGAGGGTGTTGCTCACGATGTGAAGACGCCGGAGGACTACGGCGACTACAAGACGATGTCGCGCGTAGGCCCAATGGGAGCAGACAAGGGCCACCGGCGGACGACGTCCGTGATGACCGCCGACGTTGTTGAGGGCTCTGACGATGAGGAGGAGGACGACGACGACGAGGAGGAGGAGGACGAGGATGGCGATGACGACAATGAAGAGAAGCCCGCGGAGGCCAAAAGGAAGCTGAAGGGCCAAAACACTGATAGACCTGCTAAGCAGAGGAAAACAACAAGTCGGAAGAAAGCAAAGGACGAGGCCGCTGTGAAACCAGAGGCCTCGGTGCTGGAGCAGCGAGTACAGCAGTTGCAGGACATCAACAGCATGAATACTGTGCCTGCTAGTAATCAAAGTGCAATGGTGGGGTCTCACTTGCCAAACCAGCTCCTTCCAAGATATACACAGTCACACCTGCCACTATCAGGACAGGTTTCTGGGTTACCAATGCATAATCCATTGTACGAGGGTTCGTATTCTCATTTCCAGGAGTCCCAACAGCGTATGATGCCACACCCGTGGAGCCAGCAACAACAACAACAACAACAACAACAACAACAACAACAACAACAACAGCAGCAGCAGCAGCAACAGCTTCCCGTGGTTGAAACTGTACCGCCATCACAGGCATCGCAATTGGCATACCAATACCGGGTATCAGGGAACTATGTTCCCCAGCAACATCTACAATCGCCTCCTTCCACTGGAGGTGGCCTACCACAGCCAGTCGTGATCAACTCGCCCTACACAAGGGCAAGATCGTTGAACAACAACATCAGCAAGAGGCCTATACTACGTGTTGAGATACCAACAGATGCCAGGAAGCAAAAAGACGGAATAGCCACGACCTCTACAGCGTCACATACTGGCTTACACTCTGACGAGTCTGCAAATAAAACCGGTGTAAGTGGCAAAGATGGTACCATGAAACCGGGAGAAAGAACACCAACATCAGCTCAGAGTGATGAGCCAAAGGGGTTAGGTCTCTTGTCCAATGGCTCTACTCCGTTGTCCGCTTCTCTGGGTTCCGGGTTGTTCAATCTGCCGCCGCCGTTACCTCCTCAGCAGTCCAAGATGGGTGAACAGACACCACTAACAGGTGGACTGCCCTCGCGGTATGTTCCTGATCTGTTTCCATCACCTTCTAATTTCTATTCAAACGATTGGAACATACCCTTTGGTTCTGGAAATACGCCTATCCCTTCTTCTGCTAACCATCAACTACCACCAAGGGTAAGACGACATTTACAGCAGAATCTCACAGACTCTCCTCTACAGACAGCTACTATTAGGCGGGATCGTGAACAGAACTCCAGTCAGGATCAAGAATTCAAAGGGTCGCAATCTTCAAAGAATGGCAACAATAATGGAGATTCAAAATCCAAATGATACCACAGGTTACCACCTAAGGTCAATGACAGGTCACAGGCTATTGTGGTGTCATTTCACCAGTTCCTTTAACATTCCAATACATAGTTTCTTCTGAAAGTTATGTCAATTTTACTCTGTATATACTCTCCCTCATCTCACCTGGCTTTATACCTTGTTAAACTGATCCCACGCCGTAGCACAGTGGTTCAAGAATCTCTCTTTATCGAGCCCACCATGCCTTTCCAGTTCGAATCTGAACACGTTATTCGCCAGTTTCAGCTCTGCACTGACAATCTGTTCCTTCTGTATCCCTGTGATGATGCCGACTTCGGCATCGTCCTCTATAGCAGCGCTTTCGGGATCATCATCGTCCAGCTCTTCATCATCGTGGTTCCTCTTTCTCCTGTGCTCCTTTGTTACCGTCTGTGCCTTAACCTCTGTATCAAACACACACCGCTGTGAACTGAGAGCTTGTGCCTCTAGCGGTGCAAATCTCTGTCCTTCACCTGGGAACACGTCCGTGACATGGCTCACGGCTTGCGAGTTCTGGTACTTCTTGAACTTGCTCCACTGATGGTGTTGATATGCCAACTGCTGCTGGTACTTTATCCATTGACGTTGCGAGAAGGGCATACCCTGGCCAGGATGACGCATTATGGTGGCGGTCTGTGGTACGCGACGATATACGTTGTTCATCGCCGTGTATTGCGGATGCGACGCATTGACAAAGGGTATTTGGGCTCTGTGAGGGTTTGCTGTCAACGGCGCCTGTTGATGCGGTTGCTGCTTAGCCCTCTGGGATCCCACAGCATGCACAGCTTGTCTCTGAGCTCTCTTGAAGTTGGCTCTCTGTGCTGTCTGTGGTGAGAGCGGCTGCGAAAAGTTGTATATAGGAGCAGACCTGATGGTCTGTGGTTGTTGAGTCCTTGCTGAGCCAAGGTTCAAAGGAGTGGGAACCCGATCACGCTTCAGGCGCTTATTCGAGCTCGTCAATGGTATTGACAGGCTCTCCATGTTACTGGTCAACCCAGATGTGGACGGCGTTGCTCGTTGCAAACTCTCAGCATTGGCGCATCCATCCACAGCGTGGTCGTCACTCGGCGACGAAAGAACACCAGCTCTCTGTGCAATGATTTGACGCTGTTGTTGCTCGATTGATTTGGACTGTAGCACCGTGGTCTGCATCTTTGCACTCAACGGTGGCAAGCCAGGGCTCACGCATTGCAGGGCAAACGTTGACATGTCCTTTTCACTGTCTGGAATGTGCTCTGAGCGTGAGAGATCTAGTGGGCCCGGTCTCTTCTTTTCCTTCTCTTCACTCATCATGCTGTTCTCTTTCCTTAAACTACTCAACAACTACCAAACAGGCTGGTGTGGTTTGGCACGACGTCGGTGTTCAATTTGTGCTGAATTTAAACAGAGCAAGAGGTGGAAGACGTGAAAAGAATCTCTCCAAGTGAGTCCCCACTGGTATGTGTTTCACATTTCATTTTGAGGCTACGCGGGAACGCGTGCCAGGGGAACGCACCAAGCCCGTGGGCGGAGACAATTCCGCGTAGTACGCGGTGGTGGCACGCCGGTGGGAGCTGCCCAGGCTGCTCACTAAAACCTGCTCCTTCTAACGGCCACCGATCGTATATTGAGGTGTCAATTTTGGTTCATTGGTGGTGCTTTTGAGCGTTTCTGAGCCAATTGGCCAGGGAATGGATGGCAATTGGTGTTCTTCCGGTTGGTTGAAGCGATGGCTGGAGGCACACAGTGACGATGGCCCTTGTGAGGTGGTGCCGTACTGTGTGATGTAGAATGGGGATCTACGCTATGAGATGGGCCGCAATTTAGTAGTTTATGTTACGTGGTGGCTGTTCAGCACAGCATGGCCACTGTTGTTAGATAATTCATACAGCACAACCACTTCTGGCTCGTTGTAGCGTTGCGAATTAAAGAATATGAACTGTGTAATTTATCAAACGAGAAACCTGTCTGCATAAACAGCTTGCGTATTTCTAAAATTAATGCCTACCGAAAATCACCATTTCCGGCCAATTTCACGCTAATTACATCGAAAATAACCCAGTAAACCACATTACTGCACACCAGCACCACACCAGCACCATAACACACCAAACACACAGCCTGCGCTTCATCATTGACCAGTGGACAGCGCAATAGCCCATGCCCCACCGCTTATCAAGTTGTCACATCCGAACACCACACTCCACCGTCGCCAGCGCGAAAATCACCTCCCTCCGGCTCAACTTAGCCTCTCACCACGCCATTAAACCACACATCTTGCGCCATGGTTTCCCCTGAAGGTTGCCATAGCAGGTGCCCATACGTGCCGCACACCCAGCACAGTCCGTTATCACACGCATTTAAGTGACAATTGCACCCTCGCCACTACATAACCACCATCTCACCGCTTTACCTAAGAGAATTCACCGACGATCACGTGCGGTGGCGGTGTGTGGCCGTAACGGGATGCGCCGGCTTTTTTTCGCTTCTTTTTTTGCAGCGGACGAACAGACAGCGTGGAAAAGAAAAAGTTTTCACTCAACTTCTTCATCCTCTTCAAATGTGTTTCCTGTTTTCGAAGCAACAGAGATAACTTTGAATTTTAGCAATGTCTCAAGGTACTTTGTACGTCGGTGAATACGCCAGATGCTTCCTCGTCAAGGGTCTCGTCGAGTTCTACAACTTGGACGTGACTGTTGCCGCTAAGGATGCTGCATACGAGAAGAACTTCCCATTGGCCAAGTACCCAGCTTTCCTTGGTCCAAAGGGCTACAAGTTGACTGAGGCCATTGCCGTTGTGTTGTACTGTAAGTATTTTGTTCTGTGCCATGTCTTTGGTGGTGGTTTTTGCTCTCAAGGTCTTGTACTTTTGCAATGATGATACTCCATTATTTTTTAAACAGTTATCCCTGTCTTAATAGATCATGTCGAGAATTTTTACTCTGAAGAAAGTCCAGGAAACAGGAGATCACGATTGCATAACCTTCAATGGGGGCGTTGGCTTCGAGGTAGAGGTGCATTACTAACACTAGTTTCATAAAGTGCTCTCATTGACTGATGACAAGTCTCTCTTGGGTAAGAACGAGAAGGAATACGCTCAAATCATCAGATGGCTCTCATTTGCCAACTCTGAGTGGCTCCCAACTGCCGTTAAGGCATTCGGCCCAATCATTGGTAAGGTCCCATACAACAAGAAGCAAGTTACCGATGCTACTGCTTACCTTGAGCAATTGGCTGCTGTCCTTGAAGCCAGACTCTCCGAGTTCACCTACTTGGTTGGCGAGAGATTGTCCATTGCTGACTTGTACACTGCTTCTGTCTCCTACAGAGCCTTCCAATACTTGTTCGGTTCTGAGTGGAGAGCTGCTCACCCAGCCATCACCAGATGGTTCTCTACTGTCACAGCTCACCCAACTTTGGCCAAGACCTTTGCCGACTTCCAATTCATTGAGAAGCCAGTTGAGTACGTTGCACCAAAGAAGGAAAAGAAGGAGGCCGCTCCAAAGAAGGAGAAGAAGGAGGCTGCACCAAAGGCTGCTGCTGAAGAGCCAGCTGCTGCTCCAGCCGAGGAGAAGAAGCCAAAGCACCCATTGGAGCTTTTGGGTAAGTCTACCAAGTTCAACTTGGATGAGTGGAAGAGAACTTACTCCAACGAGGAGACCCGTGAGACTGCTCTGCCATGGTTCTGGGAACACTACGACCCAACTGAGTGGTCCTTGTGGAGAGTCGACTACAAGTACAACGATGAGTTGACCTTGACCTTCATGTCCAACAACTTGCTCGGTGGTTTCTTCAACCGTTTGTCAGGCTCCACCAAGTACCTCTTTGGTTCTGGTGTTGTCTACGGTGAGAACAACAACAACGGTATTGTTGCTGTTTTCCTCGTCAGAGGTGACAAGCACGAGCCAGCCTTCGACGTTGCTCCAGACTGGGAGTCCTACACCTTCTCCCAATTGGACGCAACCAAGCCAGAGGACAAGGAGTTCGTTGAGGATGTCTTTGCCTGGGACAAGCCATTGTTGATCAACGGCGAGAAGAGAGAAATCGCTGATGGTAAGGTCTTCAAGTAAACGCAGTTCACGCATTCTTCTTTTTAGTTTAGTATGGTTAATAATGGATTGTTGAAATACAACAAGTGATGAGTATATATAAGCACAACACGTTGCTGTAGTGATGAGATCTCACTGAGGCTGCCCCGTAACCCTGGTGATGAGATTCAGGTTGCAGCACTCCCGAAGCAAGCAGGCCGGGTAACTCAGGGACAACAACGCGTGCGAAAACGAAAAACAGCGAAAAAAGCACAGGCAAAAAAACGACATTTCGAATCTAAGCAGACGAAATTGCCAGCTTCACAGAGTGTTTTTAAGCAAAGAAGTAGATCCTTTTATTTGGTGATTTGATTCAGATTGGCACAGGATGAAGGCTGCTTTGAACAAGTCTGCTCTGCTACGCTCTCTTCGAAGACGTCCACTGGCGGTGTTAGGCCCGTTGACACTCATAGTTGTTGTTTACTACCTTTTCTTCACGTCAAGATCGACCTCAAAGTATTCATATAAGCCAAAGGGCAGTGGTTTCTTTGGCCGTGCGCCAGCTGTGGTTCCACGTAACTTGCCAGGAGACCACATCTCTCACTATGACTTGAATAAGCTGGCGTCGACCCCGATGGCTGCCTATAACAAGGAAAAGGTGCTGATCCTTACACCGGTCAGCAGATTCTACAACGAGTACTGGCAGAATTTGCTCCGCCTGACTTATCCTCGTGAGCTGGTTGAATTGGGATTCATCGTTCCACGCTCCAAAGATGGTGATTTGGCCCTGAAGAAGTTGGAGAAGGCGATCAAACAAGTGCAGACTGGTAAGAAGGAGAACAGATTCTCGAAGATCACCATCCTTAGACAGGACACCGAATCCCTCCAGGAACAGAGTGAGAAGTCCAGACATGCCTTGAAAGTACAGAAGGAACGTCGTGCAAACATGGCACTGGCTCGTAACTCGCTTCTTTTCAGCGCATTGGGTCCTTACACCTCGTGGGTGCTATGGTTGGACTCTGATATCGTGGAGACTCCACCAACGTTGGTTCAGGACTTGGTTTCACATGATAAGCCTGTTGTCAGCGCAAACTGTTACCAGCGTTACTACAACGAGGAAAAGAAGGAGCAGGACATTAGACCATACGATTACAATAACTGGGTTGAATCAGAACAGGGGTTGAAGATGGCTGAGGAAATGGCGGACGACGAGATCATCGTTGAAGGCTACGCAGAGATGGCCACTTATAGAGTGCTTATGGCCCACTTTTACGATTCAAACGGTGATCAAAACACCCTAATGGAACTCGACGGTGTTGGTGGTGCTGCTGTTATGGTGAAGGCTGACGTTCATCGAGACGGTGCGATGTTCCCACCTTTCCCATTCTATCATTTGATTGAGACCGAAGGTTTCGCCAAGATGGCTAAGAGACTGGGATACCAGGTGTTTGGTTTACCGAATTATCTGGTTTATCACTACAACGAATAAACAACACATTCCAATCTCTATCCTAGAAGACATTGCACTTTCACATTATCAATGCAAACAACTAATCCATATCGTTGTCACATTATACACGTATTGATGGCCTGTAGCGTTGCCCTGCTGGGGTTAACCTTCTTAATACTTGATATCTTTGCGAGATGCTTCTTGACGACGTCCTTGGTGACCAATAAATTCGGTTCAAGTTCCCATTGTAGGTTGTATCGAGTCGCCAGCAGTGCTAATGCCACACCAGGGGAGAGATCAGTACCCGATTCACATAGTATAAGTATAGAATTGTACTGTAGCGAGAGTATCTGAGGAAGGTGCTTCCTAAGTTCATTGGAGCCCTTCTTAGAACACGACAATGGGAAGTGGATTACACGGGGATCAGGGGAGGTGTACTTCTCGCTCAAAAGAAGTACTGTATCAAACTGCTTATCAAAATTATCAGCATTATGTGTTATTTGGCCGATACTGATACCGCTTGTTAACACCACAACGTCTTGTACCGAGCAGTCTCCTGGTGTGTTCTCGTCTACCAAGGTCCTCGTCAAGTCTAAAATTTCCCCGTCATTCAGCGATTTATCCAACAGCTTCTCCCTATTCTTCCAAAAGGACTGGGAAGTCAAGTTTCCAGCCCAGAGTTCATGATCATCAGCTGCTCCTTGGACATAGACGTATCCATTCATTTTCTTCATACCATCGTCTGCGCGTTGACTAGCAACACAACATATCACAGGGTGGAAGTCTTCGTACTCTCCCACTTGTTCCAGTGGCAACATCTGGCCTGGATATACCCATAGTGGTCTCAGATATTTGCCGCCGAGCTTCTGCTTCAACTCCTCTGGAGATGTCAGTCCCAACTCAAGCACTCTTTCAGCAAACTGAGGAATGAGGTTCGCCATTGAATGGGCCTCGTTCCTTGACACGAACTGGCCTGGTGTGAAGAGCCAGTTGTTTGATTTCGTGCCATGTTGAGGGTTCATGATGTAGTTCAACGTGGCACACCATAGCGGCACTGTCTTGGACAGCGCATCCGGGATGGTCTTCCCTCTTCTCGTAGAGTCAACGAGAATGATGCCATTATGAGAGTTGATCAAGGGCAGGAGGTGGAAGTTCAGACGTCTTGTACTGAACGACCATTCGTTCGTATGTCCGTCCGTCGACTTGAAGTACGCGGTGTCCACAACATCGTGTGGATCAACATACCACAGTCCACACCTCTCGTTGGGGACCAAGGGCCTTGCATAGCTCTCGTGGACCTCTCTCACCCAACAAGAATCCCAGTCGATCGAATGGAGCCTATTCCTTATGGACCTTTGCGGCTTTAAAACCTCTTTTACCGCAACTTCCATACACTCCATACACTCCATAACTCAGCAGCAACCTCACAGCGCATATGGACTCCAAAATATCACAACTTCTAGCCCATAAAATCGTGCAATGTGCATGATGATGAACTGCCATGGAATACATATTTCCCGCCAACTTGAGCTCGCATAACTACTGAATTGGGTATATTCCCTCTATGGGATGCTCACCAAGCTGTGTATCTCCGAAACGTTTGTACTGGTGTCACGTGACGCCTATACAAAACTTTCGGTATTAAGGCGGAGATAATTATGTCGCAGCGTGGGACGGCTTCGGATTTACAGACCAGGAGGAGCCATTTTGAAGCATGGGTATTAACAGTGGTGGACAGTGTGTTTACCTTTATGCGACATATCATTGGCCCATACTGTCCCTTAAGGTACCAATGTTGTGATGCATGGGGGACTCCAGATGCGTACGCGTGGTTTTTATGTGGGATGAGCTTGCTGGAAAGGTATATAAGCAACCATGAGGCCTTGCTTTGTTCAGCTCTCAGATTGAAGTCCCCAGAGAGTATACATAGACACAGATTACGATATTCAAGGCAATGTCACTTACAGCAGCACAAAAGGGGATCATCAAGGCATCCATTCCATTCTTGGAGCAACATGGTGTTGAGTTAACATCATCTTTCTACCAACACATGTTCTCGACTCACCCAGAGGTTAAGGACTACTTCAACCTGGCTCATCAGGGACCAAACGGTGCGCAGCCACGTATCCTTGCTTACTCCTTGTTGCAATACGCAAAGAACATTGACGATTTGACCCCATTGACTGCCTTTGTCAAGGGAATTGTTGAGAAGCACGTTGGTTTGCAAGTTTTCCCTGCACAGTACGACATTGTGGGCTCATGTCTCTTAACAACCTTGAAGAAGATGGTTGGTGAGGGCGCCACACCAGAGTTCATGGAGGCATGGAAGGATGCCTATTACCAATTGGCAAACCTTTTGATCAAGCTCGAAGCTGATCGTTACGCCGAAGTTGAAGGTACTGCCAACGGTTGGAAAGGCTGGAAACCTGCAAAGATTGTTAAAATTGAGCAGGAATCCGACTCTGTCAAGTCATTCCACCTACAATTCGACGATGGCAAGTACGTTACTCCACAACCAGGGCAGTACGTCACAGTTAAGACCCAGATCGGTGACGACATCGAAACCAGAGAGTACTCCATTTCATCCGAGTTCACCGATGAGTACAAGGAGTACAGAATTTCCGTCAAGAGATTGGAGAACGGTAAGGCATCAAACTTCATCCATGACAACTTGAGCGTTGGTGACTATTTGCCAATTACTGTTCCATACGGAATCTTGAAGCCAGCCGAGGTTAAAGAAACTGCACCAATTACCTTCTTCGTTGGTGGTATTGGTGTCACCCCAACTGTCTCATTGATCGAGTACTACTTGAAACAGGGAAACAAGGTGACCTTGCACTACTCGAACCGCAATGACCATGAACGTGTCTTTGCTCCAATATTCGAGAAATTGTTGAAGAACGACAACTTCAAGCTGTATGAGTACGTCACTGACTCCAAGTTGCCAGCCACAACAGACGCTAAGCACACAATCGCACACCATAGAATTACAGAGGATATCTTGAATCAATTGACCTTATCTCCAGATGAGCACTACTTCGTCCTTGGTCCAGTTACATACATGGAGGTTGTTACAGGCTTCTTGACGCTGTCAAAGGTTGACAACGAAAGAGTACACTGCGAGCAATTCGGCCCAACCCACGTTTGAGGTGGATTGTTGGTGTGAAATATACATACTGGTGCCGTCATGGCTGATAATGCTCATATAATCTCTTCTAACTATTATGTCAATGAAATAAATGATTTACATTAATTACATGAAATGCCCTGTAGTAAGAGCTCTTGCACAAGCGTTGCAACGAGTCCTGCAGGGGAGGACAACCTTGAGGCACATCGATGTATTTGCAACTTGTACAGACAGCACAGATGAACCATACAGCGCTCACATGGCTTACCCATTAGCTGCGTTAATTGTGATTGGCGTTGCACAGAGGCCTCACGACACGTGATTACGCCATTCTGTTTTACCCAAAACGACACTGCTTATCGGGAATTAAACTTTCCCACATCCAACGGTTGCGCAAAAGCACGAAACAAAGTGCAAAAAAACAAAGTGCAAAAAACAAAGTGCAAAAAACAAAGTGCAAAAAACAAAGTGCAAAAAAACAAAGTGCAAAAAACAAAGTGCAAAAAAACAAAGTGCAAAAAACAAAGTGCAAAAAACCGTTACACACAACCCAATCTGCTTGGAGTTGCACCATTGGCACTGCAAAATTTGCACAGAGCACAGCGACAAAGAAAGCGAAAGCAAAAAGAAAAGTCAAAAACACATACGAAAACGAAAACGAAAACGAAAACGGCCAAACGCGCCGCGGATGAAGGAAAAACCACTTGCACAAAATTCCTGAGGTTTACCCTTTTTGATAATTTTCTCCCCTTTCATGTGTAAATTGCAGCGAACGTTTGAGTCGTTCTTTCGCATTTTTCCCTCCCCTTGCCAAATTTGTGCTAGTGTTCCTTTCTTTTCTTTTCTTTTCATTTCATATCCTCTGATAACACTATTCTTTAAAGGAAGCTTGTGTGTGCTTTGATCCGTCGTTGTTACTATACGCTGCTCCATAGGAAAGCTGCTTTGGAGAGCTTGTTAACCTGTTGATCCATACGGCATTTTATTTCCTTTGCGGTGTCTGAGCTAGGTGCTTCTTTCTGCCCATTTTCCACCAGTATCCACACCTCCGTATCGATAGAGCGAAGCAGCAGTGGGATACACTGTGCGGTTGAGTTGGAAGAGATCACGAGATAGAGTCGAACCAAGACGGGAGAGCTCAGCGTAAGAGACAGAGTATCGCCTACAGAGACAGAGAAAGAGTAATGTCCCGAGTGATTTACCTATATACAGGGCCTGCTGAACAGGCACGTGAGAGGGCTAAGTTGTACGAGGTTGGGACGCGTGCATCTTTCATCCATACGACTGATAAGCTATCCGTTGTGATAAAGTTCATCAGCGTTGTTGGTAAGTCGGACTTGGACCTGAATTATCCCACCATCTTTATCATCAGCGACGACGTTGGTGATGGTTCCATCACCGCGGCTGAGCGCGAGCTTGATGCCCTAGTGTTTGAGGATATCCGTACGCTGTTAGAGGAGCACTACAGACATTTGAACGTGCTGGTGTACAAGGAATCGCTGTTGAACATGCTTGAGGTCCGTGCTACTGTGGAGAAATACCACAGGCTCTTGAAGAACAGGCTCTTGAGGATGAAAACATGGGCTGGCTTAAACAACGAGGAGGCCGTGGACTGTCCTATGATTTATTCCATGCCGAACTGTTTAAAAATGATTATGAATACGAGTGACGAGAGATCAACAATGTTGAGGGAATATATACTCAAGATCAACAAAGCTGTTAATTTTGAGAAGTTGTTATCCTGCTCCCGTCCCTCTTTCAGCTTTTACCAAAGTGCTATAGGCTCATGGGGATTCATTGCACATGAATTGTCCTGCGACGAGTCCACTGTGTGTGCCTACGCCATGTTTAAACATACGTTGGCTCAACTTCCACCTTCTTCGCCGTTGATGATTTCCAACAACGATCTAATGTCTTTCTTGTTTGCCATTAGAGATTCATATCGTGGTGGTAATGCGTTCCATAACTTTCGTCATGCCGTGGATGTCTTACAAGCGACTTTTTACCTGTTGATACGGCTTGGAGCCCTTCCTACACCTGAAGGGTTTTCCGTCGATATAGAAGGCGTACCAACCTCGGTTCACCAACCTACAATACCTGCACTCTTGGATGCTGAGAACTGCTTGACACTTCTGTTAGCATCTGTGGGCCATGATGTTGGTCATCCAGGACTGACAAACGATTTTCTTGCAAAGTTCAAAGCGCCTTTGAATACTGTGTTTTCATCCAAGGCAGTACTAGAGAGCTTCCACTCTTCATGGTTTAAACGTTGTTTACGCCTTCATTGGCCAGTATTCCTGCAAGAGCCTTGGAACAAATTACAAACTGAAACGATATTGGCTACAGATATGGCTTCTCACTTTGGTTATGTTAAAATGATACAAGGGCTGGTCAAAACAGGCCAACAGTTGAAGGCTCCGAGTGATGTTGTTGTGTTGATGTCTATCATCATCAAATGTGCAGATATCTCTAACGTTACACGCCCACTAAACGTTTCATCACGCTGGGGTATCATTCTCACACGCGAGTTCAACGAAATTGCAGAATTGTCCAAGCACTTGTCAGCAAATTCTGACTTATATCCAATTGTGGATCCTAGGGAGGAACCTCACTTCCCATTGACTTACCAGAAGGCAATTGAAGAGAGTCCTCAGCTACCAAAGAGCCAAATGTTCTTCATATCACATTTTGCCGATGCAATGTTCAAAGAAGTTGCAGCATTGATACCAGAATTCGCATTCATGTATGAGGTACTACAGGCCAATACCACGGTCTGGAAGAGCGCTATCGAACCAGCAGCTGCCTAAAACAACATATCATGAGCCGATTGATGTTGCTCATCAGCCCGCTACTTGCACTAATATTTTTCTTTCTGTTTGCATATTTCCCCTAGATTACGAAGTTGATTTTCTCTACATTAGCCATGAGAACCTGTTCTTTATATTTATTTGATACTTGATTAATAACATAAAGAGTGAAAGCTCAACCCTAATAACACGAAATTATTATGATCTTGGTGATTCCTTTTCCTCTCCCTTCACTTTTGGTGCACAGTATTGTAGCTCAAGAGCTGCAGTGCTAAGAACTCATTCAATGAGACCATCTTCGTAGTGTTGTTTAACAACATCAAATGCCTTCAGCAATTTACCACGAGCACCCATGGCAGTAACACCACGTTGTTCCAGTTGTTCATCGCTGAGATAGATGAGCTCCTTCCAGGGAATACCATCTAGTGCTGCTGTATATTTGTGCAATCTCAAAGTCTTCAACCATGCAGGTATGTCGTTCAACAACTTTAGACTGGTGATTTGCTTAGCATTGACCGCTGGTGATTTTGGAGACGCGGTTTGTTGGCCCTTTTGAGGACTCGAATGCTGTAACTGTGGTGTGTAGTGCTTGCCATTACCGCCTTGGCTATGAGTGTGTGCGTGTGTATGGGTATTAAGCGAGCGTTGAGGATTCATACTGACCGATTCGTATAACCCACCACGTTGTGGTGGTGGAACACTTGACGTTGTGCGCGTATAACTGTCGTTATAGGCCAGCACCCTGCCACGTTCACCTGCAGCAGCATACTGTTGCTGTTGTTGCTGCTGCTGTTGCTGCTGAGCCTGTTGCTGTTGCTGTTGCTGTTGTTGATGATGCTGTTGTTGTTGCTGCTGCTGCTGTTGCTTTTGCTTACGTTGAGACTCCAACTGGGTTCTAGAGTTGATCGTAGACAAAGCAGATAGCTTCAGCGCAGCACTGTTATGGCCATCTCTTTTACTAGGACTGTAATCGTTCGAAACATGTGCCTGCTGTGTCAACTGTTGAGCGAGACTTGTGATGTCAAACCGATCATAACGGGGCTGTGGTTGAACCAACTGTGGCCTAAAGTCCTGCTCATGGCCAGTACGGTGTGCAAACGGGTCCGCACTTCGAGATCTCGTGTTATCCAAGAATTGCTGCTGCTGTGAAAGAGCATGCTGGGCAGAGTTCGACCAGGCAGAGGTTGCAGTGGGGGCAATGACCGTTGGAGAAAACGAACCATCAGGTTGCATGTTGTTTAACATGGAGTCCAGTGCCAATGGAGGCTCAACGGACTGGAAGATCCTGTTTTCAAACTGTTGTTGTTGTGGCGATGAGTCCAATTTCAGCCTGGCATAGTAATAGATATCGTCCGGGAGGCATGACAAGAGATTATCAACAACGGTGCGTTGCTGGTTCGAATCCAGAGTGCCCATCCAGGAGATGAGGTTTGCAACGTCGTTCTTAAAAGTCAACGAGTCCAACTCCATGGAGCTCAGCGGACGCTCAGGAACTTGCGTGGTGGAGCCGGCCCCCGTTGTGGAGCTCGCGGCGGTTCCAAAGTTGAAGCCCTGGGCACTTAAGGGTCTTTGCATTCCAGAGCCATGGAACTGGGAGATCAGGCCATTGGACACGTCGATTATTGGGGACATTGGCCTAGTTGGATTCGCCAGTTCTCCTTCGTAGGCGAATGACGAGATGAATGGCTCAGGGGACAGCGTCTTGGAGGATAAGAGCGCAGCACCTGGATGCTGCTGGGAGGGAGGGACATTATTAATAGAGCGTAAAGCACCGTCTTCCAGACGCTTCTCCAGCTCAGAGTCCTGTGGCATGGTCGTCGTCGTCGTCGTCGTCGTCGTCTTCTCCTTCTTCGTCCAGCGTTAATGTGTGCCTGATTGACTAAGGAGAAAGAGCTGTTGCGAAAGAAATGCTCTTTCCTTTACTCGTCTACTTCTCCCAAGGGCGTACTTCCCGGGTAAATTTTTCTTTTCTGAACCTGGGCCCCACTACCAGCGCAGGATTTTTCTCTTTCTTCTGGGGGGGGGGGCGGTGGGCGTGCACTGGCGGTGTGAAATTTTAAGGGGGAAGGGGTGATGTCTGGGTTTTTCTTCGCTACGTGCAACTTTCACCACGAACAATCATGGGAGCCCTAAAAAGTTTAGGCGGACGCTTCCCTTCGACGGACTGCGAGCACACACGTTCCCAGCCAAAAAACACACACACACGCACACACAACGAAAAGCAGCAGGAAACGCAGCCAGAGCCGTATGGTTCAAACACAATTGGTGGAAAGTAGTCACAACATTGCTTAGTGCAAAGTGCTGCAGTGTGTTGGTGTCCAATGGCAGGGAGAACCATGCTTTTGTATTGTGCTTTCTTTGTATGTGCTTTCTTTGTATGTGCTTTCTTTGTATGTGCGTTTCGCTCGTAGTGTATGGCTTGTTTTTTTGTATAGCTTGTTTTTTTGTATAGCTTGTCATCATGATGAGATAGGCCCAGGTGGGAAATGTCAACAGGTTTTGTTAGGCGGGGGCCTTGGTGTCCAGCCCGATTTCACGGAGGGCGTTGCTGGCCTGGGGCTCACAGGCCGCCATTGGCCCAGGCGAGCGCGGGTGCTTCCCCCCGAGAACCGGAAGGGCAAGCGTGTGCGCGCACAGAGGTCCGGAGAGCTTGTTGAGCTTGTTGACACATAACTGTAGCGTTAACATAGTTGCGGCGGGCGGTGCGATAGACGACTCATTCCACCACTCTGGAGACGCTTTTGTGCTTCAGTTGCCATGTCCAAGACACTGAAACTAGCGCTGCTGCAACTGAAGACTTCTCCCGTGAAGCGTGAGAACTTCTTGCACGCCGAGAGGCTACTACGCCAAACCGTTGATGAACACGGGCCAGTGGATATGGTTATGCTCCCAGAGTGCTTTAACTGTCCATACAGTATAAAGCTGTTCAGGAAATATTGCGAGAGCATTCCTGATGGTGAGACGACGCGGTTCTTATCACAGTTCGCATCGGACAACAAGGTTACACTGGTTGGTGGCTCGTACCCTGAGGTTGACGGTTCCACAGACTCAATATACAACACATCTGTTGTGTTCAGCCCAGAAGGGACCATAGTGGCCAAGTATAGAAAGACACACCTGTTCGATGTTGACATCCCTGGGAAGATCTCATTCCAGGAGAGTAGGATCCTTGGTGCTGGAGATCACAACACCGTTTTCCAAACGAAGTGGGGCAACGTGGGCCTTGCCATCTGCTACGATCTCAGGTTTCCAGAGGTGGCCAACGTCGCAACGAGACCGCCTTACAGCTCGTTCATGATGATGTATCCAGGTGCTTTCAACACAACAACGGGCCCCAAGCACTGGGAGTTACTAGCAAGGGCTCGTGCAGTTGACAATCAGTGCTTTGTCGCTGTATGCTCTTCTGCAAGGGACCTCGACGCCAAATACCATGCGTATGGACATTCACTCGTGGTGGATCCATGGGGCAAAGTCATCGCCAGGGCGCACGAGGAAGAAGAAGCAGTTGTCGTTGAGATCGATACCTCGATGGTTGACAGCGTTAGACAAAGCATTCCAACACAGACACAGAGAAGATTCGATCTATACGGGAATAGCTCTACGGGTGCCGTTGTCAAGGATAAATAGAGCCCATTTTATGAATATACTTGACGGTTCGTTGACTTCCTAAACAAGTAGTTCCAGATAAGATATCAGCATACGTGTGTCCCCTACTCATTTCAGCAAGGCATGTGTTGTGCGATAAGGGGAAAAGTTCCCTTCTTTACCCACCAAATATCAAAGAGCACTAGCAGTACAACAATGAGTGACAAATTCGCAATATTACCTTCTATAGGACTTTCTGGGATCAGTAAGTTGTCTCTTTTTGTAGCGTTTAAACATTTATAATTGTGTTACTGACGATCGCTGCTTGTAGAACTCGGGATGTCATTGTATCACTTGTTAAGACAACTATCCTCGAAGTATAGGGTCACCATAGCCTACAATGATGAAGATATATTTTATTACCTGATCATAACACAGCTGAACATACGCTTAACATTTGACTTTGAGTGTCAACTGCTCCTGTTTATAGAGATTGTTGATCTTTCACGTGTCTCATTGACGTATCAGGACTATTCATTGAAGGATTACAGGTTTCAAACCGTGTATGATCACTATTTTGGACCTACTTATCCAGGAGAGTTGAAGAACTCTGTGTACACGTTGAACTACCCTGGGCTATCGTTCCGATTTAACGTTGAAAACACCAAGAAACTACAAGGAATCACCGATGCATCGGAACTGTTACGACAGGTTATGGCTACAAATCCGAAGGCAAGTTCCATTGCAATTCATCATCTATCGAAATGGTCAGAGTTCAAGACGTATGGATTTAAAGCACAGACAGTAGATAGACTAGCGGTTGATGATATTGAGGTATCAGAGATAAGGATTAAAGGAATACAACATGATGAAGAAGGTCCCAACACTAGAGATGGCTTTGATCTCGATGTGCATTTCTTCAAGCATCCAAGGCTTGAGAATTTCAGCTTGGTTATCGACAGATCTTTGCAACAAGATGTGCTTGCTGAGCTGGGCCCTCCAGATGAGGTGTTTTTAAAGAACGATTCAAGATCTTCAATCCACGGGAGAAGTCCAGTTGATGATAAGTCAAAGTGTGTTTTCCACAACTACTTCCGTTACGGATTTGACTTGTTATATACTATGACCAGATCTGGAGGGGTTCTGACAAAGGTTGTCCTTCACGGAAATTTACCAGAGAGTGTCCTATTTGGTAAGTACCGAAAATGCAACTGGCGTTGTAAGAGATTTCAAGACGAAGAGCTTGCACAAACCGAAGCCGATTTAGCAAACGAAGAGGTTGTCATCAACAGAAGCGAATTGTTGGGAAACAGTATGGAATTCATCGATGGTAACTGGGAGAAGAACGAGAATGAGATTGAATGGGGTAAGAGCGTCGTCTTCACGTATAACGACCACGTTGTTGAATACGTCCATGGTCGGATAAACGCTATAACACTGTTTTAGATGCCAATATTGTTCTTCTTCGCTACACAGTAAAGTCAAATCCAGAAGAATAATAGTTCATGTCATTTCTCATGGGAGTCGCACATTGTAAGTCCATAGCCATCAATAGTACGATCTCCTGTCCCAAACTTCATCTTGGATGAAGCTGGCTAGCACCTTGGATCCTGTCTGTAGAAGAGGATGTCCTGCAACGGCCTGGATGAACTTCTCCAAGCCCGCCCTTCTAGTTTCAATCACTTCGTCGCTGAACCTGTTTGTAAATACCTTACCGGGAAGGCTTGGTATCACCACCCTTGAGGACTCCATCTCCAACAGCGATTTGAACGTTTCAAAGTCAGAATAACGACGGCGCACAGAGGATTCACGTAGTCTAAACGCGGGTAAGTTGGTCTTACACACGATTTCGTAATCTGTAAACATCTTATTCCCATACCCATGGGTACGAGGGTTTACAACCTCGATCTCCAGAAAGTTCTCCGGCTCCCCGTACAGTTCGTCGAATGATTGGCCCTTGTTGTGGCCATTGGCCAGCGACTCGCTCACTTCCGAGCTGAAAGATTTGAAAGCCATTTTGGAATGCGCTGTTTGTTGTTGTCAACAATTTGACCTTTTTCGGCAACAAAGTTGTCCTGTTGATAATTTTAAACCACAAAAACGATCTTGCTACGCCCCCAAGACTGCGCACACCCGGACACCCCTTTGTTTGTTGTTGTTTTTGACGTTGTGGGTTTTCCCGTAAATTTTTGCATCAACTTTGACACCCAAAGCGGGTGGGAACGCCGAGGTTAAACCAGTGGAAGGCAACTTTGAGGGCATTAAGAGATGGACAATAACATTGACGCGAACTACGAATATCTCCAGGAGCAGCAGATGATGCTGGAAGAGCCTCAGGAGCAGGCGGCAGAAGGAGATGATGTGGAGTCACTGTCGCAGACACAAGGCGAGGAAGCTATAGACGATGACGACCAAGGTATGATGGGGGATTCTGTGTTTGCCAATGTTGGCCAAGGTCTGGAGGGTAATTATCGTAACATGATGATGGCTTACTGGCAGGAGACCATCAACAGTATCGAGCACGAGGATCATGACTTCAGGAACCATCAGCTGCCGCTTGCAAGGATCAAGAAAGTTATGAAGACAGACGAAGAGGTACGGATGATCAGTGCGGAGGCTCCCATTCTGTTTGCCAAAGGATGCGATATCTTCATCACCGAGCTGACGATGCGTGCTTGGATACACGCAGAGGAGAACAAAAGACGCACGCTGCAACGGAGTGACATTGCAGCGGCACTACAGAAGAGTGATATGTTTGACTTTCTAATCGATATTGTTCCCAGAGAGGAACCGCAATCGACTGCTCAGTCGTCGTATCAGAAAAAGAATAACTCTGTATCAGGGTCAGTATCAGCAGCAGCTTCGTCGTCGCAGTATTATGAAAGCGAGAGACCACAAGAATACCATCAACATTACAATTATGAACAACATACTCAACAACACCAGCAGCAAGGACAAGAACAGCAGCAGCGGTCACAGGAGCAACAACAGCAGCCACAACAACATCAACAACTACAACACCAATCTTAGTAACTCCATCAACAAACTCGGACATACAACTAGAGATCTACAAAACAGGAACGTATGTATGTGTTTTATTATTATGTACTATATAAGTAATGTGATTCATGACTTGTTCTCAGCGTAGAAGAAGTTAATAGCCCAAGGCTCCAGAGAGTACTCCTTTGCATATTTAAAGATGCCTGTTGCTGGCGTTCCATATCCCCAATTTGGACGATCTGCTGGAGGCTTTGGCTCAACACCTTTGGCCTGCTTGAACAGGATGAAGACATATCTGTGCTTTCCTGTCCCCTTTGGAGGCCCAGGACCCATGTACTCCAAGATCTCCTTCCCCTGAGAGCCGAGATCCAGCTCTGCAACAAATGAGGAGCTTTCCCCCTCTGTTCTCTGCAGTGTGATCCCAGTGGTGATGAAGTGAGCATACTCAGACCACTTCTTATCTGTTCTCGAAGGAGCATCGGGATCTGTGAGCACAAGCGTGAACAGAGAACCCTCGGCTTCATCCAGTGCATTCACTTCGTCCTTATCAACGTTGGCCAAAAACTGAAACTGTGGCTTCTTCTGAGTGTCTGCAACCGCCAATGTGTTCCCGAGAGTCACCTCGTTGTCACCACCAAAACTCACTTGTAGTAAACCTTTGACGTTGAATTGTGGCAGCACGTCTTCGAAAACCTCATTGGACTTCAAGGACTCCACAATGGAGTTGTTAATGGTTAGCAATGGTCTCAATGGCATGATTCGATGTTCGTTGAAAGCTGGATATCTGAAGCGTGTTACTCTCGTCAATGGTCTCAAGATTGAACTCTTCACAAATGACATCCGATGAACTGCTCAGAAGTTGAACCAGATAATAAAATAGCAAACCAGAGAGGCCCCTCAAAAAGGGGGATGATGTAACAAAAAAAGGTGGTTAGAAATGAGTTACACACCCCGTATAGAAGTGTGATACGGAGGAAACCCCCAAATAGGCAATTACCGTATATGGCACTTTTCGCGGGGTCACATAACGCCGAGGAGTCATAGTCATAAAGCATGGGGGGCATTTACATTGTTCCCATTTCCACTTCCAAATACACTATCCTCAGCTTGTTATAACGGTTGTGTGCTTTATCATTGCTTAGGAATCGTCCCAGAATGGCCCCATTAGATCCAGAACTCAACACCTTCATCACTTCGATCCACCTCTCACACGCTGAGGCTGTCAGGGTACCAAACACTGATATATCCGTGTCGTATGCCCACTTGGCACACATCACGGGCCATATCCAGAGTCTGTTCACCTCTCCAAGCTCCCCGTTGTACGATGCGAAACGTGGCGATGCTGTGGCAATCTCGTTGCCGAACTCGTTGGAGCTGGTTGCCTTCTTCTTGGGTATCACTAACGCTGCGAGAGTCGCAGCCCCCTTGAACCCGAACTACAAGAAGGACGAGTTCGACTTCTACTTTGGCGACCTGAAGGCCAAAGCGGTTGTTGTTCCAAGGGGAACCCATAACAACAGAGACTCACCATTGGTGCTATCTGCAAAGGACAACAAGGTGTTGCTCTTGGAAGCATGGTGGAACTCGCAGAGACAGAGAATCGAGTATGCTGTCTATGACCATGCATCAAATCGCCCTCTCTACGAGTCTGAAAACTTCCCAGTCTTTGTCAACAACTTGACGAGATTCCCTGGAATTGCTTCACCAGATGACGTTGCCATGATTCTGCACACATCTGGAACCACTGGTCGTCCGAAGACAGTGCCACTTACACACGCAAACATCTCACGTTCCATGACCAACATTGTCAATACGTACCATTTGACTCGTGACGACCGTACGTACGTTGTTATGCCCTTGTTCCATGTCCATGGGCTGATCGGTGCTCTGCTCAGTACCTTCAAGTCTGGTGGTTGTAACATCATTCCTCCAAAGTTCAGCGCAACCCACTTCTGGAACGATTTCATCACTGAGAGGGCTACCTGGTACTCTGCTGTTCCAACTATCCATTCCATCTTGCTAAACACTGAACCACCAAAGCAATTCCCAAAGATTAGATTTATTAGATCATGCTCTTCTGCCCTCGCACCAGCTACTTTCCACAAGCTAGAGGAGTTTATGAAGGCACCTGTTCTCGAAGCATACGCAATGACAGAGGCATCGCACCAAATGTGCTCCAACCCATACCCTCCTTTGAAGCGTAAGCCAGGTACCGTTGGTCCTGGCCAAGGTGTTGATGTTGTTATCCTGGATGAGGCTGGTCACGTCTTGCCACAAGGCTCCATTGGTGAAGTTTCCATCAGAGGAGCAAACGTCACTAAGGGATACGCCAACAATGCAAAGGCCAATGCTGAGTCTTTTACCCAGGAAGGCTATTTCAGAACCGGTGATCAAGGTTTCATCGATGAGGATGGTTACATCAACTTGACTGGTCGTTTGAAAGAGTTGATCAACCGTGGTGGTGAAAAGATCTCGCCAATTGAGTTAGATTCCATCATGCTTTCCCACCCAAAGGTCAAGGAATGCGTTGCATTTGGTGTCAGTGATGACCACTATGGTCAGATTGTCCAAGCTGCTGTTGTCGCTACAGGTGGATTGAACGCGGAGGAGCTGAAAGAGTTCATGAAGACCAAAGTGGCTGCTTTCAAGATCCCTGTCAAGTTCTACTTTGTTGACAAGATTCCAAAGACAGCTACCGGTAAGATCCAGAGACGTAAGATGGAGGACATCTTTGCTTCCAAGTCGAAGTTGTGATCTTTTTGATCTCTTTCCATAATAGCGTATATTCCTGATAATATAACACAATAGTTAAGAGTTATAACTTACAGTCCTTTCTTTCTCTTTTAAATCTATGTCATTAATAGTCATTATGAGGGCTTTATAAATATGTACAGACTTCATTTCTCCTTCTCATCTATGAGCCATTTCCAGACGACTTCACGTTTCGCAGGATCAGCTTTTCTTTGCTTGTTGAACCACCACCAACTATGACTGAACCACTTCGAATTGTTGGCCACCTTTGCCTTACCAAGCTTGTTGTTCAACTTCTCACCTGGACTCATCAACGTCAATTTCTGAACACCTCTTAATGTCTTGAAGTTCATCGACGTGATAGCCAAGGCCATAACAGTTGAGAGTCCAATAACAGCTGCAAACCCCAAATTGGATTCTTCTATAAAGTTCTTCAAGTTCATTCCGTAGAATGCTGGAAGTAATGTAGCGACTGTGAATCCTAATGTGTATATTGTAACCTTTAATTCAAAAAGCATAAGTGAGTTTCTGTTCGCATCTAAGATGATATTGACAATCTCCTCTGTACTCTTGATATCACTCAAGAGCGATTCAGATTGTTGAACGAATTCATCGCACTGCTTGTAATAAGCCTCCAAGAGCATCTCAACCTCACCAAAGTCACCACTTTCCTCTCTGGACGTCGATTCGAGCTTATCCGTGAGGTACATCCCCAGGAGATCATCATCGTTGTCTAACAATTCATCCAAGACGTTTCTGATAAGGAGGGACTTTTGGTAGAATGCTTGGAGTGCTTTACTCTTGATCAGAAGATCTCTCAGTTTATCTCTGTCTAACTGGTCTTCCAATTCAGCCAGTATCAGTCCACAACTCTTGAGATGGTGTTGCAGTTCCGTTTCCAGACACGACATGACGTTAATTAGGATGCTCTCGAGTGCCTTGTGTTCATACTGCTGGATCCAATCGTGACTGTGCGAGCTCAACTTCGATTCAAGATCATAGACAAAGAGTCCCAGCTTTGACGCAGCACTGTTGTCTGAGGTGTCAAAAATCATCACGCTATCAGCCCGCACGAGTGCCTTGATATGCAACAAATTCACAAGAATACAGTTGTCCCTCACCACTATGGAAGGTATGACGTCTATTGCCGACGTATCAATCTTACGCAGATCTCTCGGGTACAGCCCATGGTCTTGTAAGAATTGCATCTTTGGAAAGTGTTTCGAGACCGCAGTCACGTTTCCGTTTATGTCAAACACTGTACAGCTGACGTAGGAGTCGTTTGGCGTTATGGGCTTGACGATCTTCGTAAGATCGGGCATAGCTGATGATATCTGATAATCAACAGCAACGCTGGACGGAGGAGCAATCAGCGGTGTTTTCTTCGAAATCGACCTGGTAAAGCGGTACGGAGCAGCGCCAAAACCTGGTTCTTTCAGCCTCAGCAGTGGAGCCATGAAATCTCTCCTTAGAACACATCGTGAAGACCTCAAAAACATCGTTTGGAGACCAATAGCGTAGCAACCACTGAGCCCTTGCCTTTGGAACTAAAGTTGGTGAAGCATCAACAAGCGGAGCTATAAATTTTGTGCCGAGGGCAGTTCCGCAACCATCAACCCTCGGATCTCCCCGTCACACATTCCGACCAGTCCGCCACCCTCGGATCTCCACTTTCCCCCACCGCTTACCTCCACCATTCCACCTTTTTACCCTTTTTCTCGGTTTTGTGTCCCACAGCTTGTTTCCACTTTTCACACAGCGCGCGCGACGTTGCAGACGTTGAAGAAGTTTCCCCGAACAAGCTGCGCGCGCGATAAATTTCTAGGGAAAAACCCCAGCGCAGCTCTGCAAAAGACCAAAAACCACACAAAAAAACATAACATCTTCTTCGTTCACCAGGGTAACGGCTGCTAATCGAGTGCTCGGGAAAGGGAGGTATCGACATCGTAGACGAGGTAGCATAGGAAGCGAACTTTTCGAACACACGTTCATTTGTACCAGCTTTCGTGCAATTGGATAAAGAGAAAGAAGGTCTTCCGTACACGTGACGATAGCTGCTTTTTTCGTTTTCCCTGTCTTTGTTTAGGAGAAAGGGCCTTTATCAAGAAAGGAGAACAACAAAACAGCGCTGGAACGCAACGGGCGGTACGCGTTAGAGGCAGAGATATACACAGCGGTTGCGAGGTCAGATGAGTTTAGGAGCAGCAGCAGCTGCCCAGGCATCGACACCTGCGATGAGAGGCGGTATCCTGCTGGATGGGTATGATGCGCGTATAGTGGAATTCCAATGCGGTATGAGGAAGCTCCAGGTGTTGCAGACCCATTTGAGGGCGCTTGCGATCAAGGTGAAGGCCTGTAAGGGAGAGTCGGTACCGCTGATTCATTATATCGTCACGCTTGCGACTGGTGCGACACAGGTGAATGACCAACTGAGGAAGAGACTTGAGTCTGTGAATAGACTGGAATGCCTAAGGGATCGCAGAAAGCTCGTGCCACACGTGAACACATCTCCAGTTAGCGTTGATCTGGAGGACTCTTCTGAGCCGGTGTGTCCGTACACTTCCGATGCAGACTATGCGCAGCTATTGGATGATCTCACATTGATTGCTGAGAACGGTGTTGCCATATACCAGGAGAAGTTGAAGCAGTCTCTCACGGAAAGGGACGTTGCCAGAAAACCAGATGCGACGCATAGACCTATACCTTTGGATTTTTCAAGTTTTGCTGATGTCATCGAACCCTTAGAAGTGATGACATTGAGTCAATTTGTGAGAGGTGCTGAGGAAACCGGTATTCAAAAGCTGAAGTCTACCCGAGCGTTTCTCGATGCTGTTGAGAAAACGACCAAAAACATCGGGTCGTATGTGGATGTGGTGGTAAAGACCAAGGCAAAGCTCACCGAGGCAAGCATACAAAGGCTTCCATCCTGGGCTTACACCCTCCATAGAATCGTCGCTTCAATTTTCAAGTTATCAGAACTCTACGCCATCTTGAGAAGATTTGGAAGAGAATTATACATTCCTAGAAAACAGGACTTCCACTCGGCAAAGCTGCTACATAAGAACACCAAGTGGCAGAATATTCTTAATGAATGTGAAGAGTATCTTGTCAACTCAAAGAAGAACGAACTTATGCTTTTGGTCTTGTCTAAGGTTACCCGTTCAGGATCACAGTTCCCCCTGAAAGCTAGCACCATACAGGAGATGATTCCTCCTCTAAATCACTCATACAACTTGGTGATTAAATTGATATCGGTTCTTCGTGATCTCCTTAAAGGCTGGGAAGAAGTTGGGTTCAGTGAGCAGCCATCAGAGCTGAAAGCTGGTACCGGTAAAAAACTCACTGTGTTGTTCAAACCCGATAAGGGGAAACAGCCAAAGGAAATTACCGCTGTACAGCAGCGTGATAAAGAACGTGCTTTCACTATCGAGAGGATCAATCAGCAAGGCACTTCAACGAAGGTTAGAGCAGGTTCTTTGACCACAGCTACTACAAACCAGCTTGTTCGTTCTGCTAGTGTTGCTGCAACTCGAGCCCGTGCAGGAAGCAACCCACCAATCATGTGTACTTCGCCATTCAGCACAACAACACGGTCCCGGTCTGGCAGTAATGCTTCTGTTGCATCTTCATCAAGCACATCTTCGCAGCTGAACAGTCTGAGAGAGAATTGTACAACTGCTTCAAGATCTACTCAAGAGTCACCGACGGTTCTATCGAGAACTCCATCAAACCAACGTCGTGTTAGACCTCAGTCAGTATACTCGAACGCGGCATTTGATATTAGAACACAGTTAAGAAGGCAAGAGAAGCTGAAGGCCAATACACCTTCACCGCCAACGGAATCCCCCAAGCCCAATGGTAGTGCTACACGGTTGAAAAGATCCTCTTCTTTACAACAGCCACCAAACTCTATGAGAAAAGCTACTATGGTGAATGCAGCAGCAGCAGGTGCATTGTTGAGTCAAACTGAGAAGCAGACCACCGTTTTGAGACATTCTTCACTAAAGAGTCCTGCTGAATTGGCCAAATCTAAGAATAGTTCCCCAGAAAACAGACAACCAAGTCCACCAAAACATAGATTAACAGCGAATGGTACACAGAGAATTCTTCCCACTGATCAGATGAAGACTGTTGTGGAATCCAATGATGTACCTAATTTGTCTGAGCTGAAGATTAGCTCATCAACAAGATCAGATACGAACACTTCATCAAGAGGAAGTTCTAATTCAACACCAAGAGTGATTCCAAAGGCCTCACAGAAAGTTAGAACAGTCATTTCGCCTAAAGTCACATCTAAGTCAACGCCTAAGGTGATCTCAAGAACAACTCAAAAGGAAACACCGGAGTCGACTTCAAACTCAACACCAACAGTACTTTCACCACCTAAATCCCCTGAGCTGACACCGGCAACTGTTATCATGAAGAGGGATGATTCTACAGATAGCAGTGGTTCAATTCAGCCAACTCCAGAGACATTGACTCCTACAGTTACTAATGAGGATTATGATATTACTCCAACAAAGTCCAACTCGAAGATTGATTTTTACCCCGATTTGATGCCCTTGAAACCTTCTGAATCACCATCTGCAAAGCCGATGAATAAATCTATACCTAGTGGTGAGGCATCTAGTACACCCGAACTGGTTGAGAGCAGCACTGCCTCAGAGTCGAGTCTTGAGGATGAACCACCTGAGCCAAAGAAAATTACTAAAAGAGTGAGGTTTATTGGTGTGCCACCTCTTTTACCTGAACCCAAACCAAAACGTAAAGGCTGGGCTCATCCTCCAAGTACACTGAGTATTCAAAAGGCGAGAACCGGGTTGTCTGTTGCAGCAGCAGCTTTACAACAGGAGAGAATGGCATTTAGCAGAAGTAAACAAGGTGGATTTGGGGCTTTTGACAATTCAACCAACGCATCTGATCGTATGATGAACAGCATCACAGCTTCATCAAGTCAAAAGAGATGGAGGATTGGTGGTAAACTTCGTGATCGCTTCTAGTGACCCAGACTGTTGTTTTCTTCTTTTGAACTCACATTCTAGTCCCACATTATAATAGGGAAAGTGACTATTGGTAAGCGTTTGACGATCATTTTAGAAAATATAGGCATCGTTTTACAGCTTAACTCTACGTCACTAGGCTAGGCATAAAAAACCTGTGTTAAAACCATCCATTTGGCGATACCAATCAATTACCTTACGTACCTCATCGGTATTTCATTTGTTCATTTGTACTAATGAAGTTTTCCCTTTCTTCTGTATGTCTTTGTTATTTCGATTCAAGACTGATATAAGTGCAATCTATCAACTTCATTTTGTAACGCTTTCAAATCGTCCAGGATATTTACAGCAGACCCCGAGTTTGCTGTCAGATGTCCTCCATAAGGATTATTACTTGTGTTCTGAGCTATTGGGATCTTTGGAGGCAATGCCGGTGCTTGTTGCACTCCATTTGAATATTGTTGCGGTGGATCTGGTAAGAAGTGCTGAGCAAACCCATTAAGCTGTTGTTGCTCTTGCTGTTGTTGTAAACTTGGTGATGGAGTTGATCTTGAAGGTGGTGCCGGTTGTTGCTGTTGCTGGGTTAATGACATTCCACGACGTCTTGGAGGGGGTGGAGCAGGCGCCAGTGGCGAGCTCACCCTGTTTGGAGACGTCATTCTCTCTGGAGGAGGCATAGGAGGTTTTAACGAGTGCTGGCTCGTTTCATGTGGCAACGTTGCCTGTGCTAACTGTTCCAAAGTGACGTGGCCGACAGCCTCTGGTTGTGAAAGCGATCTGGCTCTTCTTGCCGGTGGTACAGGTGGCGATAAGAGTCTTTGTGGGACATGTGTCTGCTGCTGTTGCTGTACTTGTTGTTGATGGCTTCTCATCGAAGACGTTAATGAACCTGTCATTGAAGGTGACAACGCAGCTTGGCTGCGCAATGCCTCGTAGTTTGGTGATAGTAAACCATCTATCATGGAGTGCGAGTTCATGTTTGGACCAGTGCTGCTTGCATGTAGAGGGATTCCCGGTCCAGTATGTGATGGTGATAGTAAACGAACAGGTCCCGTGATATTTGGAATCATAGGGTCTGGTTGTTCGACATTTGGAGATGGTGAGCGATAAACCTCGTCAAAGAACACAGAGGGGATATTTGATGGAGTTCCATGTATCAGTGCGCTGTCCACATTCTTGATGTGCTGGAAGGTATCAACAGGGACATCTGGCAGATCATCATCTTCGCTGACAACGACAGTGGGAGCCTCCTTCTTGGGCATCGATTTCATCAGCTGGTCCATTGGCAATGACAGATCAATCTTCACAGGCTCAACCTGGGAAGTTCTGGTCGGCTCTACAGATACCTGGTCCGAAAACTGGATTCTTCTATGGCCCTTTCTATTCTTCTTCTTCTTCCTAGGGGTCTCTCCAGTCATCAACATCTCCGTAAAGGAGTCCAAGTCGAATTTGTCCTTTGGTTTGCCATTCGCCGGCACATCCTCCTCTTGGTCATCGGCATCTTGCACTCGCTTAGCACTCAGAATGGACCGTGGTTTAGGGATTGGAGCTGGATCCTTTATAAGCGCTCTTTTCGGCTTCTGTCCGAGGATGGAGTGCGATATCAACCGTAGCAGCGCAAAGAACTCACCAACGTTCAGAGACGTCACGCTGGTGAATATGCGACTCAGAGCAGCTCTCACCGGTTCTGGGATCGAGAAGTTACGCATGAACGCAAACACATCCTCCAGTCGTATCAGGTTGGTGCCACGTCTCACAACGATGTCGTTATACCATCTGAGATATGTCTTTGCCTCTTCTGCTGATAGTTCGTCTGCTCTCAGCGTCAACGGCACACTGAGGTCCTCTGGCGTGTCCGAGCCCCCAGCCAGCGCAGTGGATGACCCATTGTTCACAGTTCTGCTCAGATCCACGGTGCTGTTGGCCGTGGAGTTGTTTATGGAGCCCAAGTGCGATACCGTTGGTAGGGGTAGTGAGGCCGAACTGCTATTTGGCGTAAGGCCAAAGGACACCGGAGGAGGGGCCGGGGAGGGGGTCAGCCCCGAGGCCCTTGCCGACGACGAGCTCTCAGCAGCTACACCATTGAGCCAATCAAAACCTGCTGACATAGCTCTTCTTTCTGCGCTCTGTCTCGTTACAGCACCGACAAGCTTCCCCTTCAAAGAAAGCGTTCGATTTTGGGTGGACAGGACGTGAAGGGTAGTTTTTCGCAATTTTTCGGATTTTCCGCTTTCGCGGCGGTTTTCGCAACGCCAAAAATGTCGTTAGCCTTTTTCCCGCAAAACTGCGTCAAAAGGTCCATTTGCTTCACAATGGGAGAGTGTTTTGGTTTGGTTATTTGAGAGTGATTGGGGTTGTTATGAGTGCCTTAGGATTTGGTGGCGAGTCGTCCTCGGACGAGCAAGAGGAGACCGTCGAGCAGTGGCGCAGGAGTGTTCAAAAGCGCTCGAAGAAGCAGCAGCAGCAGCAGCAGCCGAGCGTTGTTGATGAGTCGATCTATCAATACGATGAGCACTATGACCGGTTGCAAGACGAGCGGAAGCAGTTGAAGAGGCCCAAAGTTGAAGGCCCGAGGTTCATGAAGAACCTGCTGATTGCGAAAGAACAGAGGAAACAGGATAAAGACCGGGTGGAGGACGTTAGAGCTGCTCGGGAGCGAGAACTGGAGGGAGATGAGTACAAGGACAAGGAAGTGTTTGTGACGGATGGGTATAAACAGCACAAGACGTTGCGACAGGGAGAGGAGGCGAAGGCTGTGAGGGTGTTGTTGTCCACGAGGAAGCCGTCTGGACAGGCCGAGGAGTCTGCGAAGGCTGCGAAGGCTGCTGATACCGCTGATACCGCTGATACCGCTGAGACCACTGAGCCTGATGTCAAGCCTGCCATTTCGAAGTCTAGGCTGCTGCCTCCGTTGGATGAAACAGTGGTCCTAGAGTACCGCCAGAGATACCTCCAAAGATGTGTGAAATGAACACACCAACCGCACACTGCTCTCATGAATACTCTAATGAATGAATAATGACTATATATTATAAAGCGATATCAAAACTAAACTGAGTTCACTTCTTTGGCGCTTTAGTGCTCAACTGCAATCCATGCCATTGCGAGATTTCCTTCGACAAGATTGAGTTCACCAGCTTGTGCTGTTTAACCATCGAAATCCCCTTGAACTTGTCACTGGTGACGTTGATGGCAAACATAGAGCCACATCCACCGCTGATGTCCGCAACCTCCAGCTCTGAAGGTTGCAACTCCTTGGACAGTTTGTTGTAAACCTGACGTTCGGCATCGGACATGATCTGCGAATAGAATCTTGGGGAGAACCTCAGTGCAAGGGCTTTCTGTCTCATGTGCTGGACACTGAAGTTACGAAGCATCGTGTATGGTAGTATGCTCCCACTGCGGCAAAACGGTTGAAGGCAGGAGATGAGGAGGAAGTGGAAGGTATCACAAGTATTGACTCTTGACTCTTTTGACTCGTCCTCGAGGACGGCTCCGCAATGTGCATAGATGAATAAGCAAGAGAGGGCCTGCTGGAATAGCCCAAAGGGGAAGATTACCTAAAGTAGAAGCTCTGCTGTACCAAGCTGAGACCGTATCTGGGGGAACTGGGCTCTTTGACTATGGAGTACTTCTCTTATTTGATTAACAAGTGATGTCACAGTTCGAGCCGTTTTATAGTGCTATCAGTGGTGGTTTAAGCACCAGGGAGTTGTAAATCAGGAGATGACACTACAGCGTAGATTTCGAATATCAAGGTGATGGGCTAATCCCAGCACTCGTAGAGTCAAGCGTGTGCTCATTGGAACCATAGAGACAATGTTAGTTGAGTAATAAACATGTCACTTATCTATGGGCTCTGGTGGTGTATCCTTAGCAGAGATGTCCAGGAAGCAAATGCTGTAATCCATGTATTGTCATACCTGGCACAGACCACATGTTACCATTCCCTTTCTGCAACACAGTAGAGACGTGATGGTAGTATGGAGGTGGTGAATGCTGTGTGTGCATAGACAACAGACAGGTGTGTGTATTCCACCACCATATAGAGGATATTGCATTGAGTGAAGATAAACACATATTACACAAGATGAACCACACGAGAGAGACCAGGACAGACCGAGAGACAAAACTAGAGGGATTAAAGAAGTCTGGTATAGTTACATAGAAGAAATGGACAAGCTAGTCTAGTTAAAAAACCACAGAATAAAGGATTAGAAACAGAGACAAACACACACACATACTGAGATGTATGTAGTAGCTCATCAGACGTTTGCAGGAGCAAACTCTTGACGGTACTGCTCAATCTTTTCTCTCTCCTCTTCAGAGATGCGGCCAGAGAGATAAGCAATGATATCAGAGAGGGTGACAATGCTGATGACTGGGATTCCATATCTCTTAGACACCACTTGTGTAGCACTCTGTTGAGAGTCAACGGTTCTCTCCTGTCTATCAAGTGCAATGATGGTTCCGACAACCTCACCCTTCTCAGCACCAATGATTTCAAACGCCTCGTTGATTGCGGTCCCTGCGGTCATCACGTCATCAATGATGAGGATTCTCTTACCTTCGAGGCCAGCTCCAACGATGGAGCCACCCTCACCGTGATCTTTCTTCTCCTTTCTGTTGAATGCATACGCAACCTTTTCGTACTTGGAGCCACCAATCTCAGCCAATTTGGCAGCGGTGATTGCAGCCAATGGGATACCCTTGTAGGCAGGACCAAAGATCACATCGAATTCCAGCCCGGAAGAGATGATGGCGATGGCATAGGAGGAGGCCAGGTTTGAGAGCAACTTACCAGTGTTGAAGAGACCCAGGTTGAAGAAGTATGGCGACTCTCTACCTGATTTGAGAGTGAATCTGCCAAATCTCAGTGCCTTGGACTCAACAGCCAAGTCGAGAAAGTTCTTTTGGTAGTCTTGCATTGTGAAAAAGGGTCAAAATCTATGGTTGTGGCTTCAAAATGGCAACAGAGATGCTAAACAAAGAATCGAAAGTAGAACCAATCAGCACAGACAGACACACGGACAGGAGCAACGTGTCGATCGAGTTCAAGGCAGAGTCTCAACAAGGGACCGTGATTGGTAATATATGCAAAAAAGGAGAGGCGATGATATAAATCAGTGTGCGATGTCCCAGCAGTGGTACTTAATTGAACAACGTCCACACAGATGGAGGTAAAAAACCGTGAAACTCCACAACGAGGAAGACCGAGCTAAGATAAGCAACGCTTAAGAACGATGTTTAGAAGCAAACACACAACCTTTCGAACTGGAAAAGTGAAAAGATTTGAAGAACCGTCTGAAGAATCAAAGGGGAGAGAGGAATGAAAAAAAAAACAGGCGCTATACAAAAAGCAGAAAATTTTTTGCGACAAAGGTTGATCCTTTTTTTCGGTTTTGCTTGACAGCGCCAGACGAAGACGAAAACGAAAAATTTACATCCGCTGAGTCAAAAGGCGTGCAAAGACGGGCAGTTGTCGTTATCGTTTTTCGTTTCGTTTTCGTTTTCCGCAATTGTTCTTTTCTTCGCTTAACGGTCTCCCATAACCGCGCGCTAATTTTTTAAGCTTTGTGTTTGTTTGTTTGTTTGTTTGTTTGTTTGTTTTCGCCATGGTTCAGCAGTGACGTAATCTGCGTTCTCGTTGTTTACGTTCACGCCCTCCGTTCTTACTAAGTGCTTACGTAATCACTGGACCGTCCCCGTATTTTCGCGCGCCCCAGTGCTACCGCGAATGCGTAGTGCAAATGCGCGTGTTTCAGCTTTTTAGCTGTGCGCTGTTTACACCATGTTCACTTCCTGCTGCTGTTTACCATGGACTTGAACCAAACAAGCGGAGGTTACGATGGTTGACGAGTCGAGCAGCGTGGAGCTACTCCCGATCCACAATAGGAAGTCCCACTCGACTTCACGCCACAGCTCGAGGAACCCAACACCGGGAAACACACCGTCGATACCCGCATTAGTACCAGACATTGATATCGTCAGCTCCATTGATGACCTGTCCACTGGCGGTGAAAAGCAGCAGAGCTCAACGTTGCCCGTATTGGACAGACCGCAGTTTGCCCTTCTAGTGCTGCTGTATCTGCTACAAGGCATTCCTGTGGGGCTGGGGTTCGGATCTATCCCATTCTTGTTGAAGTCCAAGCTGACGTATTCACAAGTTGCGCTGTTCTCTTTGGCCTCGTACCCGTACTCCTTGAAATTGCTGTGGTCTCCTGTTGTGGATGCCCTCTACCATCCACGTGTGGGCAGACGAAAGTCGTGGATCATTCCAATTCAGTTGATATCCGGCTCAACACTGATATTTCTGGGGTCGAGCATGGATCAGCTCTTGGAATCGCCAGAGGAAAACTTGACTGAAATCACCTGGACTTTCTTCTTCCTGGTGTTTCTCTGTGCGACACAGGACATAGCCGTTGATGGCTGGGCCCTGACGATCTTGTCACCAGAGGCGTTGAGTTATGCATCGACGGCACAAACCATTGGACTGAACACTGGTTATTTCCTCTCATTTACGGTGTTTTTGGCCTTGAACTCGCCTGAATTCTCCAACAAGTACCTCAGAACAGAACCCCTGGACTATGGTGCACTGTCCTTGAACCAGTACCTCACCTTTTGGGGGGGTTGTGTACATCGTTGTCACATTCTTTGTCGCAATATTCGTCCAAGAAGAGCCTCGTCATTTAAAGAAAGTTAGAAGAGACGATACAATGACCGCAGCCAACACAAGCCCTTGGAATTCCCTAAAGAGTGTTTACAAGTCGATGTTTCAAGTGTTGAAGTTACCAACAATCCAATCGTTCATTGTTGTCCATCTTGTCTGTAAGATTGCTTTCCAAGCAAACGAAGGCGCAACAAATTTGAAACTGCTGGAGAAGGGTTTTGGCAGAGAGGATCTGGCAATAACTGTGCTTATTGACTTCCCCTTTGAAATCGTCTTTGGTTATTACGTGGCGAAATGGTCAAGTGGTAAAGACCCATTGGGACCGTGGTTATACGCGTATTTGGGCAGGGTATTGGCTGCAGCCATCGCACAAGGTGTTGTTTGGTTGTTCCCAAGTTCGGGTAAGATCAATGCTTTTTACTTCTTGCTGGTGATCTTACAGAACCTCTTTGGCTCATTCATGTCGACGATTCAATTCGTGTCGGTTAATGCTTTCCACACGAAGATTGCAGATCCGATGATTGGAGGTACTTATATGACCACTTTAAACACAATTTCAAACCTAGGTGGACAATGGCCAAGGTTCATCGTTTTGAACATGATTGACTGGTTCACAAGGGCATACTGTGCCCCTTCGTCATCGTCATCAAACCTCGCACAGTTTGAAGTTACCAACGAACAAGAGAAGGAATCGTGTAAAGAACAAGGGGGTCTCTACACGATCGTCCAAGATGGATACTACATCAGTAATATACTCTGCATGGTGATTGGTCTGGTGCTGTTTTTCGGTTGGATTAGACAAAAGGTTAGATATCTACAGAGCTTACCAACTTCATCCTGGAGAGTGAAAGAGTTATAATATATACCCGTTCTATATATACATAGAGTGAAGAGAACACCATCTCTATGTCTTTAGTACCTTCCGAGTGGTGTCGTGTATGAAACGTGGCCCAATGTATATCAACAAGCCGATGTATGCTGCTATCAGCCCGGTGATCTTTTCTGAGAAGTAGTGGTAGTATGTACTAGTCATCAGTAGCATGAACCACCACAGCCACAACAAGCCCAACAGCAGCATCGTCGAATGAGTCAGTGCTCTGAGACAAGAGGTGATTTGACCATATGGCGCCACTGAGCTCCTCTGAACGGCGTCTCTAAACTTGGTGAGGTCTGTCAACAGTGTGCCTCTTTCAAGAAGCTCAAACCACATGATGAGTGAGCTCAACACCAACAGGAAAACGTGTCCACTTGGATCGTGGCCTCCGATCCAGGTGCCTTTCATCTTCCGGCACATCAGACTGCCGATGACAACATCCTGCTCGATGTCTATCTCGAAGCTCTCATAGTTGCACCCGCCGCCCGTCATCAAGAAGATTCTGTCCATGAGTGGCAAACCAAAGAACCACTGTGTAAACACAACCCACCACGCTGTGCCGCCGAGAATACGCAGCAGAGTGGTCCTTGTCAGCCCATAGTGCTGGATCAGAAAGTAGAGCAGCACAAAGATCGTCCATGCCCATCCCTGCTTGACAAAGACAACGTTGATCAGGTTGTGCTTATTCGAGAAGTAACTATCAACATGGCCCGTCGCATGGTGTAACAGTTCGCCTAGTAGCACAGTGAGTGGATACACCGCAATGACAACGAGCTCGGGGATCGTAACACGTAGCGATCTCGCCGCAGTGGTCACATAGCACTCGGCAAACTTCATATGTCGTCCATAAACGTGCTCCATCTCTGGTTCTCCGTTGTCGCTCACCAATGTGTCCGAAGGCTGTGTGTGTAGTGGACTATGTCTGGGGTTCGCGATGATCTTCCTTGTTGATGTGGGTTTTTACACGATATTCCTCCGAGAGAACAACTTCACTCTCAAGACATATAACACCGCCACTTTAACAGGGACACAGCAGCACACAATGGAGGAACCACAGCCAGCTCCGACACGGTGGGAGGTTGAGTTGGAGTTTGTTCAGGCGTTGGCGAATCTGCAGTACTTGAACTTTCTGGCACAGAACAAATACCTCGAAAAGGAGGAGTTCTTGAACTATTTGAAGTACTTGGAATACTGGCGGGAACCACAGTACGCAAAGCACTTGGTCTATCCCAACTGCCTACATGTTCTTACGCTCTTGCAGAGCGCACACTTCAGGGAGCAGATCCTTAGACAGGACACTGCTGCGGTGTTGATGAACGACATGGTGAATAGATGGAAGGAGCCTCAGACGATGTTTGCAGCGACGCCGATAAGCGAGAAGAAGACGGGCGATGTTGCCAGCGTACCCGAAACAAAGGCTGACGAGGAAGCTGGTGATGAGGCAGGCGTGCAGCACAATGGAACTGCAGAGACAGCTGTTCCGTCTATTGTTGTTAATGGTAATGACTCCAGTGGTTCTACGTCGAATGACGTATCAACGGCAGAGCCACAGAGCACAGAAGCTATGCAATGAAAATCGTTGTTACGATGAATATGATGATTATTAATACATTAGTGTAGTGTCTTGAAGGGTGCCTATATCCCAAATCTGGTCTTTAATTGCTCCTTGACCTCTGCGTTTTCGAAATCAACATTGTGCAAGTTTCCCAGGAGTCTCTCCATCTTGGACTTGTTATCTGCCAGCCCAAGAATGCGTAATAGCTTCGTGGCCTCTACGCTGAGGTACTTGTCACGCTCGTTGTTATCTGTGTCAAGTCCCAGTATGCCTCCTTCTTCGACTGGCTTGGAGAATACGGACTGTAGCGCCTCCACTGAGTGGAATAACTCCGTCGTTTGTGAAACCAAATAGTAGAAGGTTTGATCCAATGGAGCCAATGATTCCAATAGTTTCACCGTCTCAGCGGGTAGCGTACTGCCTTCTGGTCTCTCAGAGAGGAAAGATACAGAATTCTTGTAAAGCGTAAGTAGTTTGACGATCTTCTTTGCCCTCTTCATCTGTATCAAGAGTTGTTTCTTGACAAACAACTGCACAGTTATCTCCTTATAGAGCGCGTTGATCTTCAAGTCCAGCTCCACACTCTTGACATCGGCCTTCTTGTTCAAGTCAACACCTTCGTAATGCTTCAACCGTATCCATCCCTCATCGCTGAGATCATTCGGTATCGTCAATATGTTTCGCAACGCGTACAACTCAAACTTGTCAAAGTTCTTATCAACGCTGTTCTCCAACAAAGTCTCCAACTTCGCAGTGCCCACCTCCACTTCATTCTCCTCTGGTTTGACAGTGCTTGAATTCGCCACCACAGTGTCCGGGTCCTTGTCCGTGGTGCCGTGCTTTTGCTTCTGTATGAGATATGTCTCTACTGCTTGTGTACATTTGTACATCACACCGTTGACCGCGTTGATAATGTCATCAATCACCGCAATTGGCGGATAGCCCAAGTGTTCGGTGAGAATCTCTGTAGCACACGTTCCTGGAGCAGACATAGCTTCATCAATATGACAACGACAATCCCTGGTTCCCTATGCCTGGGACCGTTCAAGAGGTTTCGTGTGGAGGTTCTTTGTTTACTTTTCGCAAAGTGCACATAGCAAAAGGGCGGATGAGACAACGGCACGCAGCGTGGTGTGCGGGTGATGCTTACGTAAGAAAGAGTGAAATTTGAAAAAACCAGCCATCACCATGACAACCAGTTACTCTTAGATCCGACCCAGTGAGCCTCGGATTAAGCCTCGGATTGAGCCTCGGATCTCGCCGTGCCCTTGCGATGTGTATACGTCTCTCACTTCAAACAACACTTGTTTACATTGGATTGCTATACCAGATCAGTCAGAGGTGGGAAGGGATTCACGAGCTACGCTGTGCAATGATGATTCGTCAGTCAACTCTGAAGAGATCTTTCTCTACAACTCCACAGCTGTACAACAAGAAGTTCAGGCCCTTAGCTGAGTACCCACTGATGTGTGGGCTGGAGATCCATTCGCAGTTGAAAACGCCTCACAAGCTCTTCTCGTTGTCAGAGACGTCTTTCCACGAGGATCCTAATACAAAGATTTCGTACTTTGATGCTGCGCTGCCGGGAACACAGCCCACATTGAACCCTGAAGCACTGCTGTTAGCGTTGAGGGCTGCAGTGGCCCTCGGTTCCAGTGTCAATTTGGATTCAACCTTTGACAGAAAGCACTACTTCTATGGTGATCAGCCGATGGGGTATCAGATCACACAGCATTACAATCCTTATGCCAAAGGTGGCTCTGTGAAGCTTTGGAAAAGAGATGGCATCTCAGAAGATGAAAAGACAATCCGCATTGAGCAGATTCAGTTGGAACAGGATACGGGGAAATCTGTTTACGTTGAGACTGAAGGTGAATCTTACTCGAAGATCGACTTGAATAGAACCAACGTTCCCCTGATTGAAATGGTCACGAAGCCAGACTTCACGCACCCAGACGAGGTAAAGGTGTTTATAAAGAAGTTTCAGAATCTTCTAAGATATATGGATATCTGTTCTGGTGACTTAGAGACTGGTGCGATGAGGGTTGACGTTAACGTCTCAATCAGAGGTGGTGAGCGTGTGGAGCTGAAAAACTTGTCAACGACAAGTGCAGTGATCAGTGCTATCAAGTATGAATACAAGAGACAGATTGGGTTGGTTGAAAAGGGGGAAGCCGTTGTACAGGAAACCAGGGGCTGGGATGGTAAGAAGACAGTGAGATTGAGAACGAAGGAGGATGCATTGGACTACAGATACATGCCAGACCCTGAGCTCCCTCCAATGCTGTTGAGTGATGAAATTGTAGGCCAGCTCAAGGCCGAGATGCCTCAGACCCCTGATCAAGTCCTGGAGTCTCTTCTAAGCACGCCTTACAATCTATCGCTGAAAGACGCCACGATATTAACCTACAATTTAGACCTGCTGATGTATTACAGAATGCTTTTTGATGTCTCTGTGAATGCGCACGGGATTGACCCAAGAACACCGGGGAACTGGCTGATCCATGAGCTTTTAGGAACATTCTCCAGAAACGATCTTCCATTTGACCCTGGATATATCCCCTTGGTCTCGCTCATCAACCTCATGAAGGCTGTTCAGGATGACTTCATCTCAAACTACAGTGCCAAATTACTCTTACAGCATTTGTTCAACAACAAGGAAGAGACCATGAGGGATTTGAGAGAAGTGATCGAGGACTATGGGTTGAGGAAGCTCACAGATGCCGAGGTCTCCAGCGAAGAGCTCACGGCAGTGTGTAACAAAATCATTGGTGAACAACAAAATACTGTCAAGAGCATCAAGAAGGGGAAAGTCAACGGTCTGAACTTCCTTGTGGGACAAGCAATGAGAGCAACACAGGGAACAATTGACGCCAATGTCTTTGAAACCGAGTTTAAGCAACTACTGGATGTTGAGTAAACAATAATGTACATAGTTTAGCAGACAAAATCTATATATTTTCACTCATTCTTCTTCTTGTTCTCTTTAACCTCTGTTCATTGTATGCAATGGCTTCCTTTGCTTGATCAATCGGAGTCAGAGTCCTCTTCTTCACTGGAGTCCTCTTCAGCAACGACTTCTTCTTCGCTGGCATCTTCATAAACAGGAACGTCCTCCTTCGTGACTTCTTGCTGAGTCTCAAGTGGAACAACTTCCAGATCATCGAATTTGATCTTCTTATTAGGAACCACAGGTAATGCTTCGCTTTCGCTTCCAGGTTTTATGAGAGAGCCTTCAACAGACACCACTCTACCTGAGTTGTGGATGGCCTTCACGGTGAACTTCACCTTCCCATCAATAGGGATCTCATTCTCATCGATCCATTGACCAAGGGACTGGGACTTTAGTTGTTCCTCGTCCGACCCTGTGGCTTGTTCATCGGCCTGGTTAGGTATAAACTGCCACGATTCTGGGATGTTATTCTTCTTGATACTTCCGTTGAACGTGTCGTTGATGAGCAAACCGATGTGGGATGGTGACTGCATGTAGACCAACCCTTCGAGGACATCACCCACTTGAGGCTTCCACACTAGGAAGTCCACTGAGACCCACAGGAATGCAAATGGACTATGTGGGTTCACAGTTGCAATGATATCACCGCTTTCTCCAATGTGCTCTTCGCTCACCGTCACGTTATCGTAACCAATGACAACACCGTTCACCTTGGCGAAGTTCTTCATAAGCATAGGGTCCAAATGCTGGGACTTGATACCTTCGATTGGCTGTTTGAGGTACGAAGGTGCCAGGGAAACGTACAGCGAGACGTTGATCTTGTGGAAACACTCCGAGAGGCCATCACTGTTCACAGGGTTTGTAGAGTTGTGTTTGATGAACTGTGGTTTTCTACGCTTATTGCCCTGCAAGCTATCAGAGTTCGATCTTTTTCTTACTTGAGACATGATGAACTGAGCCAAAGTGTGTGCGTTGATCTCCTTCTGTAGGCCCTTTCCCTTGGTGATGATTAACAGGTAATTTTTTTTTCTGCCCACCTCACTGTGCTCGAGTAAAATTTTCGAACTTATGCGATGAGTTACGGAAATTGGGAGAGCGCCAAAAGTAGCACTCGGATATCGGAACATTCCCAAAACGCGATAGAGAGCTACACATGGGAGCCCAAGCATTAAGGAGGACAGTTTCGACACAAGAGATGAGTGGTTGTGATTAATTAACCTAATCAAAGAACTTTCTAGTCTTGGATGGTCCGAAAAGTGACAGTCTAATAGCTGGAAGGGACTCCTCAGAAAGCAATTTCAATCTCTCCTCCAAAGTGTTATCAACATCGATTCTACCACTACCGTTTGTAAGAACAACACCTCCAGCAAGGTCCTTGTTCAAGTATTCGGATTCATTAATGGTGACCTCTACCGGGTATCCAGTCTTCTTCTCAAACTCGGCAGCTGCCGTGGCGAGGGCCTTCTTCGCAACGTCCAAGTCTGCTTCACGCACTTTGATGCTGACCTTCTTCTCCAGGATAGTCAAGAGGCCCTCCTCGATCAAGCCGGCAAGAACAGGCTCGTATCTGGCCTTGTCCTTGCTAATCTTCTTCAAGTCCTCCTCGGCTTGCGCAAAGATATCGTCCAGAACGGTTTCTCTCTGGGACAACACTTTGAGTCTGGTCTTGTTTGCAATGGTGGACTTTGTGATTTGTTGTGCAAGCGACGCCTTCTTGGTCTTCTGTGCGTACAGGGCGTCAATGGCAGCAATCTCAGAGCGGACAATGTTTGCCTTTTCGATTTCGTACTCCTCATCGGCCTAGCGTGTGTAGGGGGTGGGTTAGTATCGTGCAATTAGCCTGTAGTGATACAATCGATACGCACCTTGAGCTGGATCTCCTTGGCCTTCTCGTCAGCCTCCTTCTTGATGAAGGACTCCATCTTCTTCAATTCATCCGCAACCTATC